CATGCTATCGACCAAATATGCCTAAAATTGAAAGCAGCATCATACAGGGGAGACCCCTGTGTGGGCAAGCCACTACCACCACAATATGATCGACATCAAGGAAAGCAGTCAGACACTTTTCATGCGACAACAGAGGTGGACAGCCAGAGTTAAAGACAGGAAAACAGCGCGTTAAAAAAGGCTGAGAGCAAAGCAAAAAAGAGCGAGGTGAGAGGGTAGGACTGAAAGCAACAAAGTATTATGATCCCCACTCGACTCATATGTGCATTAATTGCTTGACAGTGTCTAACAGAAGAGTTCGGCACTCTAAGTTGTACATTAGGGCGAGAGCGAGACCTCTCTGAAACAGTTCACTGGCAGCTCGACGGCAGCAGATCTTGTGGATACGCTTGCAGAAGGTAAGGCCTGAAGCGCATTTTCTCACATATACTGGCACTGACCATGTATGTTAAAAGCAAAAAGACCGAATGAAGGAAATGGTTGAGGTGTTAGTGACCGAGGGACGGACATTTATCAACGCGTGCACAACTGGTCTTGCTGTGATCACAGCAAAACATAACTGTGTATTCTGTGAAATTGTCAGCTCAGCAAACCTTTGAATCGCTTCACTTCACTCGCGACCAAAAGCAGAATTAAGCAGCCAGACTTGTAAAGTGTCATTTTCTTAATTCAAAATTAAATCAGGTATTTATTCTATATTCTATTATCTGGTGACAGTTGTTTGAGGAAGAGGAAGTGTTTGCACTGTGTAACTATGCGCAAGAGGAGCCCAGTTGTGTACATGGAGCTTCTCTACAGCAAACGACATATTTCTGTTAGCTGTATTTTTTAAATAAACTACCAAGGTTAGGAATAAAAAATACTTTTTGATGTTCTGCAATGACCTCACAGTTATATCAGAATACGAACGCTCTGAAAAAACTCAGAAATCTCAGAAAAAAACGAACGTTTGTTTTATGAAAGGTGAAAAGTTATACAAAGTTAGAATAGAGCACAGAACAACAGTAAGATATGATGTTGGATGATCTATAGCTCATATGAATTATTGTATGTCATCTCTGCAGTGGTGTTTATGTGAGTGATTCAGTTTGTATCTGTATGTTTCTCTATTTGCTAGTTGAATTATTCAAAAAGTCCGGGATGGATTTGCATGAAAATGACCAAACGTGGGCTCGGCCCAACTCAGAGATCGTTGGCTTTTGAAGCCGAGCTTGCCCCGCATGCAGATCCCCATTTTTGGAGGGATTCTTTACCATTGCGAGGGAAGGCGAAACTGGATACTTCGTGCAATTTTAGCAAATCCGTATCAAACTGAAGTCTTAAAAAATGGGACAACTAATCGTGATGTTCTCAAAAACAATGTCACGAATGAATCGCTTCTGATCCAATCAATTCGACCATGATGTGGAGGAAAATGTCTTGGACCGCTCTTAGATGCTGCGCTGTGATGTAGATGTGAGAAAGTGGGAGTTTTTAAACATTTATTAATTCATAAGTTACCAATCCATCATCGTGCATACTTCTCAGACTAAGAAGTGGTCTCACCCAAAGCTGAACATTTTTAATAAAATTATATTTACTGCAATGACGATACCCGCGTCTTGGTCACTTAGTAATATTTTACGCATGATATAGTTGGGACATTTCGCCCGTATGAAGCCTGAGTTTGATCGGAGCTGCAAACATCACAAGTTTGCAGAAAGTGAATGTGTGTTTTATGAAAGCATAAAATGATTTTACTAGTAAGTGAAGGTTCACTGTCCACTCAGAAGTAAATAAAGGTCAAGCACTTTGGTAGCAGCGTTGCTAGTAACGCTCGCTATGAGCGACCGGAAGACTTCAAGCATAAATCCAAAAGGTTTCAAAAAGTAGTGCGATCACAAGTCTAGCACATTTATGCAAATTTTATAGTCAGTCATGAAGCTAAATGTCTATTTTGTGATACGAATCATAATTTGTGACACTTGAATAATAAAATGTTTATGTCGGTATGGCTGACAAAACAATGAGGAAATAATATTTTTCACGTAAAGTCAGGAAAATTACAAAAAAAGGCAGAACGTCTGATGTTTCGGAACATATTTACTGCTTGCAAAGCATCGTGAGGATGGTAGTTTGTATTTTATCTGCTCTTCAAGAAATGCATTGCATTAGAAGACGGTTAAAAGCAAGAACGGAGGCGAGTTCTTTATTCACCCAACAGGGAATTCTCTCACACTAATGGCAGTTTCAAGGTGATGTGAATAGAGTACATTGAGGTGGAAAGCCACAGAATATGGACTGACCAACTTTTCCTATGAGCACTTATTTTAACAAAGCTTGGCAGGGTACAGAGCAACACAACAACAGATGTTAGAGTGTGAGAAAACGGATAGACACCAAAAGAAGAAGTCTGAGAGTTCCTTACTAAAAAGCAGGCGGGCTATAATTAGTCGATAAGAAACAGGTGCAAATGTGCAGCAGAGTAGTGAGCGGGGTTGGCCTCAAGAGAGATTTCACTCAGGAACCCTCTCTTTTTTTATTTTCTCTTTGTCTGTGTCTTCCTTTGTGATTATTGTTTTCTCTCTTCCTGCTGTTGCTTCTTTTTTTTTTTTAATGTACAACAAGTAGTTTTTGTGTCAGACACCAGTTTGCAGGTGTGCACGTTCTCACACAGAAACACACGGGGTTTCTCTGGGCAAAGGTTTGAATATTTTTAACCAATGTGTACTCTCACCACTACACACACGGTACATGGCCTCTTTGAAACTACAGTTCTGTTGCCTCTGGCAAAGTCTGACTGTACGGTCACTCGACATGCTAAGAAAGTACTTTCATTTTGTACAACAGAAATAAAAAAGGCCATTCTACAGCCTTGCAGGGCATTGCACGGTAAGTAATAAGCTGTGAAGTTATTGTTTGCATTTAAGAGCATGCTATATGTGTGACATCCTGAGTGTCAGCTTTTTTTGCAGCTCTTCTATGAGGTGTCACAATTGACTACTATCATAAAGTACCGTGCAGTGTATGATTAAAAAAAACCCACTTATCAGGTATTATATTGTGAGCAAGAATAAGGTGTGAATGAAACATCAATGAGTTAAAAGAGATAAGTGTAAGCCTAGCATGTATGAGTCTATGTGTGTTTCTGATTGCACGTACAGGAGGCTGGCTGTGGTTTTTAACACATTGTTCACCCATCTTGCACAGCTTCCCATAAAAACCACCCACAAACCCACGTGAATAAAAGAGAATTCATTAGCAGCAGTCAGTATTCCTCCTATTCTGTTCATTTAAAGAAGGATTGGAGGTAGATGTACAGCAAAATGGACAAACTCTTACTGGCTGCACGTTTGTTCACACAACAAAGTGATGCACAAAGATGAAAGTGCTGGAGAGGGGAAGCAGTGACTAGAAGGACAAGGCGATCAAAGAGGAAGATGAGGGGGAGACAAAGTGAGAAACACAAAGCATTGTTTGACTTCACGTTAACTAAAGATACCTATGCGTAATTTGCATACGCCAAGCTTAGGTCACCTCAGCTGAACTAAAAGCCGCTCGGTGCGACAGCATCTTCTCGGTCGCGTAAAACCTTGCGTGAAAAGTTTCCGTTAAGAAGCGTTTTATTTGGTTTCACAGATATAAAAGTAAAAAGAGAAAGGCTTGATGAGTATTTTTATTTGTTTTTGACAACACAGATCTGTGAAATCACAAATGCAAACTCTTCTAATTTGGCCCATGATGCAGACAAAGCACGCTGATGACTCAGTATGGAATATGGAGCTAACACACAAAGCCACAATCTTGCCATTCTATGTATTGTTTCCAGCCTTATTATTTTCATATGTTTCATATTGAGACAGGTAGGTGGTGAGGCTAGTTCAGGAAGGGGTGATGTGGGTCTCGAGGTGCTAGACAGAGTGTAATAAAGTACTGAACTGTAATAGCCTCTAAATATTTTTGGAGAGGAAAAAAACCATAATGGCATGAAAATGGTCTGCCATAGATGGACAGCCTCTACAGGCACGTGCAGTATTTTATACAATTATATCCTATTTTTAAAAAAGCCCTTTCTATCTGAACATTAGCCATTTATATGCTTAAAGCGAGACAAACAAACACAAAGTTGCAAAAACACAAAGTATATGTGCCTCTATTACTCAAAACATTATAAGATTAGGGACTAGCACTGCAACGGCATCCCGTTGTCATCAGCTTGCCCTAACAATATGACAAAAATATGGAGAAGTGCCTGCTGTTTTCTTTAACCAGACCCTGACACTGCCTCCGTAAGTGTAAGAATCCAAATGTGAGACATATTCAGATTATAAATGTGTTTAATGACAAGAATCACTCAGAGCGTTCAAACCTTCACCGAGGCAGCTCGCTCTGTGCACGCGACTTCCTTTTAAGGGAATAGGATTGCATTTCGTGTATGTTCACCTTGTTTTCCTCGTTCCTTTAAAATGCATTAAAAATATGTAATGGATAACGGGTACTGATTTGTAAATAACTAACTGTATTCTGCAGCATATCTCTGATTAGCTCATTCTCTCTCTTGACGATACTTTCTTTAAATATTTAACATATTTGAGGATCATCTTGAAAGAAAGGCAGATATGAAATCTGGGGTCAAATGTGACGTGATATTTGGATGCAAACGATACTCAGAATCCTCAAATACCACAATCATCTTCTAAATGTTGTCAGGACAAACAGAGGCAGCAGAATTTTAAACATAAGACATTTTACTGAAGTTTGACCTTGAAGAAGAGGTCAGAAGTCCAAAGTAATATTTTGAATCCCCCTATATCATGTCTTATATTCCCTTATGCTGTCAATATAAACAGCGGTAATTAGAAACAGTTTTAAACAGCTCTATGCAGCATTATTATCACGTCGACTTATCTATTGACCTTGAAAGAGAGGTCAGAGGTCAAATGTGACATATTTTAAATCTTCACACGGTACTTTCTAAATGTTGACAGCGCACAGTACAGCTGTAAGGTTGCAGGAAATCGTCATGTTATTTGAAAAGAACCCCAAAGCATAAATATGTTGTGGTTCCTGTTTGTTTAATGTAAAGCTATATCTATAATTACCTCCACCAAGGACGTTTTTGGCAGCGTTTGCACGTGTGTCATTCTGTAAACGTGATATTTCAAAATGTTTTTATTGAATTCTGACCAGTGTAGAGCGGGGTCACATTAACAGTTCATTAAAATTTGTCTCATTAATCATTAAAAAACTGCAGATTAGTTTCCTGATAAAGAACTCATTGCTTACTCAGCTGCTCGCTCCACTAACTGCTCTCCTCTACTCGATTTCAGGTCTCTGTTGTGACTCGCTCTTCATTTAGCATGGAGTCCCTACCGCTAGCTTTTCACGGGGGCCAAGAAAACCATGTTTTACACGTGGAAAACGATCTGGTACGTAAAGGACCCCGTCGCAAGAGGGAGTTCATACCTGAAGAAAAGAAGGATGAGCTCTACTGGGAGAAACGTCGCAAGAACAACGAAGCTGCCAAGCGGTCACGGGAGAAGAGAAGGATGAATGACTATGTGCTGGAGACTCATCTCATGGCTCTGAAAGAAGAAAACGCCAGGCTCAGTGCTGAGTTAATGGCCATCAAGCTTCACTTTGGCTTGGTTCACCCTGCAGCGTACACAGGCCAACAAAGTAATCCACTGCAATGCCATTTCAACAGCAGCAGCCAGCCTGTAAGCACCACCAGCACCCACCAACAATCCCTGCAGAGAAACTACTACTGGGGTGGTAGAGACTCTTCTGTCCTGCCCAGTCACCAGCCTTCTAACTCCTTTCTGATCCCTGCATACGCCCTTCATACGATGAGAGGCTATTCGTATTTCAACAGACCAGCTACTAGCGGCTCTGGCATCCTCAAGCCCCTTGTGCTTCCTCGAAATCTCCTGCCAACCCATTCCCATCATCCCGTAGGTCCTCTACTGAAGCCCATGGCAACAAGAACCCCCTCAGATGAAGAGGAGGAGCAGCAGGTTCCAGGGCTGCTGTCCATGTCTTGCCCACCTCCGCCTCATAAAATCATCGCCAGAGCAGGCAGAGCCCATTCTCCACAAAGACAATACATGTCTGACTGACTGTGAAACACAGAAGGACGAATCTAGCGTACAGCTTCATCAACCAAGAAACAAATGTGTTATTTCTTTTTCAGTACTGTCATACATGCCTGCTGACGATGTAACGTTATTGCTGGGAACTAACGGCTCAAGGTGCGCAGCCCTTTCAAAACGAGAACTTTTCAAGTGTGTGCAGCATGCAAACCTCCCCCCTCTCCACTTTTTGTTCCTACAGAATCAGCTGTCAGCTCTAAGTTGCTGACCATTCCCATTGCAGCCACATAAAGAACATTCTAAAGTAGGGAGTACAATTTTTTCCATACAGTCCATTCATGCTGTTTAACTTCACAGAGCACGATGCTGTGGTGTTTGTGCAGTTCGCTGTTTGGTACTTTCCTGAGAAAGTATACAAAGAATAAAATGCACACAGAAGTAGCCACATGTGGGTCAGTGACGATAACAACACACGCTCACCTTTGCCCACCACTCTCACTTCAGAATTTTATGCAAAACTGTGACCGAGCTACAGATGTGTGTCCGGTGTCACGGTGTTTCACTGGTGTTAATGCGACTGACGATGTTAATGCAGAATTTACAATTAAACTTCTCTGTCATCATATCACACACTGCCTTTACAAACTGTAGGCCACAGTCTGCCTCCAAACGGAAAGAGTGAAGTATGAAGATGATCTGTTTTGCCGTGTGAGCAGATGTAGTCATGTTCTTCCATACTATGCCTACAATTTGTTTTTATTGTTCCATTAGAACCCTGACATTGTTTTTAATATTTTTACATGCAAAATTGATTAAAACAGATGAATAACAGCATTTTGAACAAAGTCTTTGCTTTATTCTTTGACACAAAGATGAAAAACACTTCTCTGACTTCTAACCATGAAGATTGCCCACCCCTGGGCCTCTGTGTCCATGCTTAAGGTTTTTGGGGCTTTGCTAATAAAGTGTGACAGTCTAACCTCATAGAGATAAAAATAGAACTATTGCATAGGATTTACAAAAACAGTAGCTGTGACCCCTTTCTTGGATTTGGCTTGTGTTTCAGTGTGTTTTTGAGTCAGCAGCCAGCCGCCCGGGCTGTAGCAGGTTGCTGGCTCATTGCCTGACAGTGCTGCTGGCCAGGCAATGTCCCAGTGGCTCAAAGAGAAACTCAAAGAAACATTCAGTGTCAACAGAAAGACAGCAGCTGACTGCAGATGAACTCTTTTTATAATATCACACTACTTTACAATAACTTAACCAGCTATTTAACATCAATTACGAAGCAACATCAGATATGCAAAAGTAAATTGGAACTTGGACTATGTTCAGAAACAATTTGCATTCAATAAAGAGTGAGCAAAAGAAATCCCACCTGTTTGCTTGCTTCTTATTTGTTATAATTGTCTCTCACGGGTAACGCCTAACTTTGTTATCAGCAGATATCCAACTGAAATAACAGGCAGCTGTTATTCCTCTGAAGCTATTAGCTGGGTTATATTTCTCATCAAGACTACAGCCTACAGGAGTCTGACGGACAGCTAGCAAGCTATAAGCTATTTTTTTTTTAGCCTTTTTCAAATAGGAACAGTGGACAGAAAGAGGGGGGGAGGCATGCGGCAAATTATTTTTACGCGCTCTCAGCCATACAGCATTGTGGTCGCCGACTCATCCCAGTGAGCTTAAGCAGCACAGGAAGCTACTGATCTGGTGGCTAAACAAAACTTCCATGTAGTTACAACAGAGAAAATGTGGTAATTTCAGAGTGAGATGCACTTACAGCTTTTTAAAGCTGCCGAAGTACTCGTGGTGTTCTTTAAGCATTTGTGGACATTAGATTAAACAAATAAAATAAAAAATAAAGCACTGGAGGGATTTTTTTTTTCTTAAATAACTTTGTTTTACCTCTGGATTACACACAGCCAGGATTATGTTTTAGCTAACCACCAGTGGTTCTGATCTATGAGATTTATGCGTCTCTGTTATTAAGACTAGTTTATGATATATTGTTTTCTTTTTTGTAGTGGTGACATTGAAGCGATCAGAAAAACCACTAAATAAAACTTGGCTTTCTAAAAATAGTTTTGTATGAACACAAAACTATTACAGCAAAGCTGCACTGCTATAGTGGTCAAGGGACCAGAACAGCAAGTTCAATTTCAAGGGCTGGAGGGAGGTGGGGGTGGCCTAAGTTTATATTTGGTGAAACCCTGATTGAGATATACTGGTGACTTCAGTCACATCAAATGAAAGCAAGCTAGTTACAGTAAAGCAACATATAGCATCATACGCGTCACCACAACTGCAGACAAAGTCCGAGCTGTGACCTCAATCACAGCCTCACTGGGTCAGCCCAGCCAGAGCAAGTGCTCTGAACAGAGATCTGGTTGCTGTATGACAGTTTGATCTTTTGAAAAGAATAATGAGCAATGAATGAATCATAATTATTTCCCCTCACTGTACCGGTTACATATCAATATAGTAATCAGTATATTATCACTAGACTGGTCCAGCACAATAACTCTTCAAAGGCCCAGAATTTTCCATTTGCACACTGTCATCACAGTCAGGCATACTGAAATACCACTACATATAAAAACAGTGCAGAATTACATCTGGGTTATATGGTTTGTTTGTTTTTATTCTTTGGCAGACAGGCTCCCGTGAGACTTCATGCCTCTCAAACATAAAGAGCAGACACTGTTTATTTTCTTCTATAATTATCATGTACAGAACCACTGCATATAAAATTAGCAGAGACATACTGAAATGCTGTAGGCTATGTTTTATAAGCATACTCTGTAGTTGGCTGATATTTGCTGCCTATTAGTTTCCATTTGTCTGTAGATTTTTCTCACATCGAGTTTTAGTTTATGCTCTTTGGTTTAGCTTCTCTTTGACATTTTGTGTCTTGTTTAGTAATTTTGTTGGACTGGAGTTTTATTTTTAATGTTCGACTCCTTGTGTTTAGTGCCCTCTTGTATGTTATGTGATTCCCCTTTTAGTGACTTCCTGTTTTCTTCTGTTAGTTATTAGCCTCTTGTGCCTCACCGTTGCTTTGTCTTTCCTTGTTATTGTCTTAGTTTGTTTCAGCTGTGCGTTGTTACCCTGCTGCTTGTACTTTTCTTGATTACTTTGTGTTTATGCGCAGCCTCAGTTTCCCTTTTTCCTTCTTCCTGGTGTCTGTCAATGTGCCATTATGTGTTCCTGCTTAGTTATCCCATTTTGGATTTTTATATTCTCTGCATTCGACCTTATTTATGTGTTCTTTGGCGTAAATTTTGAGTCTCACATTTAGGTGCTGATCCAGCAGTCAGTGATACCATATTTATAGCCTGAAATACATTTTCCAATAGCTTTAGAGAAAATGGCTTTTGGTCTTCATATTTGTGCATGTTACATTTTTATTATTTTTTAAAAGTAACATATTAGACTGTAGCCTAAAAGTAAAACAGTGCTGGATGAGCAACCATCATTTCAACTTCATATCTAACTAAAAATAGAAAACTAAGTGAAGAGCATTTTGCAGCTATTTAGTTTAAGTGGCAGCAGGTCAACAACATGATTGGGTATAAAGATCGGCAAAGGTTTAGCAATCTGGAAAAAACACAGAACCATTTTAGAAGTATGTTCCTCTATGTACAAAGTCTAAGTGAAATTTTACAGCTAAGATAATGAATATCTGATTATCTATAGTACATAACATCTTAAAACGATTCTGAGAATCTAGAGAAATCTCTGTGCAGGAGGCCCACGGCTGAAAGTCTGCACTGGATCACTGTCATATTTGGGCCCTCGTGCAGCACTACATAAAAACAAGGATGATTCTGTCATTCTGAGTGAGTGCACGGGCTCGTGAACACTTCCAGAAACGCTGCTGTCTCCTCTGGACCAGAACTAAGGCTGGGCTTCAGTGGAAAGCTGTTCTGTGGTCAGATGATTGACGTTCCCGAGCCCGTGTGGTACAGAATCAGTTAGTCGTGTCATGTTATACACATGTATCTTTTCCTTTATTGGTTTTTGACCTTGTCTATTGTGTTCAGAGGTTTTTCTAGAATCTTTGAGTCGTTTAAGCATCACAGATGATAAATTCACCAATTTTACGTTGACAAGGCCTTGACATACATTGCTGAACTCATGCCCACACAGTGTTTTTGCAGCATGGGGAAATTCTTTTAGTTCTCAGAAACTCCATCCCTCTGACACTGACAGTTAACTTCAGTTAGTAGTGAGATATTCCAGTGGATGTTTTTTGAAGTATTACACAACTTTCCCTCCCTTTTGGCGTCACAGTTCTAAATTTCTGGAAATGAACACATATTTTTCAAAACACATTGGAAATGTTTCGGCTGTGTTGTTTTTGTAGTATGACTACAATATGAATGATATGCATCTAAGTCTGTTCTTTTATTTGCATCTCAGTGTGTATTTTTCCACGTTTCCTTTATTGATTTATTTCTGTATGTATTCATATTAGAACCACAGTTTTCGACACACAGCCATCGGTGGTTGCTGGTAATTCTTTGTGCAACCTGCTGGTGAAAGAGCGTGCTAATCTACAACTACTTTAACCACTTTATGTTGTGATATAACTGAAAACAATTTGAACTGTTTGAACTTGATCGTAGACTTTTTATTCAAGTCACAGTAGCAAACTAAATGATCATAACACTGACAAACACAGGTGTCAATAAATGTCATCTCACTACTAGTTAAAATCTAAACCAGTACAAAAATGACAATTCCCAAGACAAATCACCACTCTGAGATGACACATTGCAAACACTAACTAGTACTGATTTGCACACTTTTCTTGTTCAACTCTCAGTCATATGCTAGCTCAGTAATCAACAGTAATCTATTAAACTTTTGAGAAACTCTTTATCAGAACATGTGTGAAGGTTTGGGGGTTTTGAAGCAAGAAACTAGGCTCAGTTTAGCTGCACTGCATTTGTTCTTTACTTAAACTAGAACCTGTGCTTGCAAATTGTTACTTTCCTCCTTTTCACCCTCACCAACGAGCAGCT